AGGGTCACTATGGGTTGGAACCAACCCAATGGCACCTAAAAACAACAAGAACAATTTTCTGTAAGCCTGAAATTGTTTTAAAATAAAAAGTTAAAAATATTTCCATTGTCCCTGAGTAGAAGTCCACTTCACTAGCCCCTTACCCACTCCAGTCTCATCTCTTCCCTCTCCAGCAACCCCTCAGCCAGCTTGAAATCCACCATTTCCCAGACTTCTCTCTACTCTGCTACTGAGAATGGCTGCCCTCTCTCCATCCCTCCATCCCTGCTCTCCCCAAATTCCTTCTGCCTCAATCCAATATGGAGACCCTGGGTGGTGTGAACAGTTAACAAGCTCAACTGTTAACCATAAAGGTTAGAGATTTGAGTCCACTCAGAGGCACCTCGGAAGAAAGGCCTGGCGATCTAATTCTGAAAAATCAGCCATTGAAAATCCTATGGAGCTCAGTTCTACTCTAACACACATGGGGTCACCATGAGTTGGAGTTGACTCCATGGCAACTTTTTTTTTCCTTCCACGCCCACCCAGCATCTTCAGTGCTGGGGTAGGCACCTCTCCCCACGCTATTCCTGAGCATCTGTCCCACCACCTTTCCCCATCAGCTTCAGTCACAGTGACCATTAATCATTACCAAGTGCTGAATCATGACCATGTGTAATTTATTACACACATCATTTCTCTCTTTCATTTATGTCTTCCTGTCGACTCTGCAAGGTAAGCAATATTGTCCCCATGTTATCCATGGAAAACTCGAAGCTCAGAAGAATAAAGGATGCGTCCCAGGTCACAGCTAGAAAACGGTAGAGGCTGGACTAGAACCAGGCTCTTGGCTACTAAGCCATATACTCTCCCTGCTGCTATGAATGATAGTAACCCGCTGGTTACTAAGGTTTGCTGAGCTCAACTCTCCACCAGGCCCTGGGCCAAGCACTTACATGAATCAGCACCATAAACTGGGGATCATGAGAGTCCCTGCCTCAGACGGTGGGGTGGCCGTGTGGGTGCAACGAGCTAATTAATACAAGCAAGGCCCTTGGCGCTTGGTGAGCGCTGCCCTGTGGGAGCCTCTCTCATCTTTTTCTTTTTTTTTTTTTTTTAGTTTTGTTTCTTAGAACAAGTTTAGATTTGCAGAAAAATTGAGAAGAGTAGTACAGAATTCCCATATACCCCACATCCATTTTCCCCTACAATGAATACCTTACATGGATATGGTACATTTGTTACAGTTAATGAACCAATGTTGATACATTATTGTTGACTGAAGTCCATGCTTTATTCAGATTGCCTTAGCTTGTAACTAATGTCTGTCCCAGGACTCCATCCAGTATACCACATTACATTTCATTGTTCATTCAGGTTATTTTTATTAGTGTTGGTGGTGGTGGTGGTGTTAGTTGCTGTTGAGTCAGTTCCAACTCATGGCGACCCGACATGTGCAGAGTAGAACTGCTCCATAGGGTTTTTAAGGCTGTGAACTTTTGGAAGCAGCTTGCCAGGCCTTTCTTCCGAGGCACCCCAGGGTAGGTTCAAACTGCCAACCTTTTGGCTAGTAGTTGAGCGCTTAACCATTCACACCACACGGGGCCTCCTTTATTAGTAATGCTATCGTCATATTCACTCACCTAATCGTGAGGCAAGCCCAATGAGGGGGTCTAGTCTGCTTACTCACCTGTCCCCCTCATTTGACCACGAGTTCTCTAGAGCAGCGGCAGTGTGTCCGTAGTCTTGTTCTGCTGGCCCCCCAAAGCTCCGAGTGGGGAGTAAAGTAACGGGGCCTGCTGCCCACCACAACTGTCCCTGCAGCTCCTGGCCTCAAGGCCCAGATGTGAAGGCAGGACCATGAGGACATGACCAGGCAGGGAGGGAATGGTCAGGGCTCTGGGAGACGGGCCACCTCCCAGCCGTCTAGCCTGTCCCATAGCCCACCTGCAGTCTCAATCCACCTTTCCTAGAAAGTTCCTCCTCCTTCCTCCCCACGCCCCGGGCAGAACCACTCCTGCTGAGCAGGCATCCAGGCTGCTCCCAGCCCCCAGCTGTGAGGCAGGAAGCAGGGGTGAGGGGCTAAGCACAGGTTTCCGACCAGCCCCTCAGGGTCCCAGGCTGGGAGGGTGCCTTCCCCTGCTTTCAGGGCAGGAGTTTCACCACGGCCCCTGGTGGCCAGGTGGGCACCCCCAGGTGGGCTTCCTCGGCTCTCCAAGGCGCCCACCTGCCACCTCCACCTATAAGGCCTGGGCCCTCATCTTCCTACTGCTATGCCTGGGGGCAGTGGTCCTGGCCATGGCCTGGAGTCGTGTAGTCCTGTTGTTGCTGGTGGCGGCCACTCTGGGGCCAGGGTTGAGCCACCGGCCACAGCCCGAGCCTGGCCTCCCAGGCCTGCGGTACAGCTACGACTGTGGGGTCCAGGGTATGCAGCTGCTGGTGCTCCCCGGGCCAGGCCGGACGGTCCGCTTCAAGGTGGTGGGTAAGTGCCTGCCGGCTGAGTCCCCGTCCCCACCCCCCAGACCTCAGGCTGCAGCAGGGAGCCAGGGACCTCCCCTGGAGCAAAGAGCTTCCCTGGGGCCCGGGGGTGTCCGTCTCACCAACACCCCTAGGGAGAAGAAGGAGGAAGAGAGAGAGGCAACTTGCCAGCCTTCATTTCCCTGGTTACCAGGGCAGCACCTCTCCACCATCACTGTGCACAGGAATCACCTGGTGACCTTGTTGAAAAATGCAAGTTCTGATTCAGTGGTTCTGAATCAACAAGGAGCCCTGGTGGTGCAGTGGTTAAGTGCTCAGCTGCTAACCAAAAGGTTGGCAGTTCGAACCCACCAGCTGCTCCACAGGAGAAAAATGTGGCAGTCTGCTTCCATAAAGATGATCAGCTTGGAAACTCCATGGGAGCAGTTCTACTCTGTCCTACGGGGGGCTGAGTCGGAATCGACTCGATGCACCACACTGGGTTGGTCTGGGACAGTATATTCACTTCCTAGAGCTACTGTAACAAAATACCCCAAAGTGGGTGGCTTTAAACAACAGAAACATAGTCTCGCACAGTTCTGGAGACCGATAGTCTGGATTCTGGATGTCAGCAGGCCATGCTCTCTCTGGTCGCTAGGGGAAAAGCCTTCCTTGTCTCTCCCAGCTTCTGGTAGCCCCAGGTGTTCCTTGGCTTGTGGATGGTCTTCACATGGCTGCCGTCCCTCTGTCTCTCTGTGTCTCTTCTCTCATGAGGACACTACTCAGGGTGGACTAGGACCCACCCCACTCCAGTGTGACCTCATGTTAACCGATAACATCTTCAAAGACCCTAGTTCACAGCCAGGTCATGTTCCCGGGTACAGGAGTAGGACTTCAACATGTCTTTTCTTCAGAGGACACAATTCAGTCCACCACAGTCAGGGCCAAGAGTCTGCATTTCTGACCCTCCCAGCTGATGCCGAGGATGCTGGCCCACAAACCATGCTCTGAGCGCCAGGGCCTGGTGGACGTGGCCTCGGGTGGAGAAAAGGCACATGGGTTTGGAATGGATTTGAAGCTGCAGTTTCTGACCTGTGTGATCTTGGGCAACTGATCAGACCTCTGAGTCTCTGTTTCTTCATCTGTAAAATGAGAGATGACCCAACCTTGCCCTGTGGACTGCTCAGGAGTGCAGGGGGTAAGCGGACACCCAGAGGGCGCCCTGATTGCTTTGGGCTGACAGGGTGGTGAACACCCTCCCAAGTGACTGCAACAACCACCAAACCTGCAAACAGGCTCAGCTCTTCCTACAAAACCCTGGGTTCGAATCCTTGTTCTGCCCTCATGGCAAGCACCTGAGAAAGCTCACTCACCCTCTGAGCCTCAGCTGCTCATTGTCCACAGAACGTAGATAACTAAGCTCAAAGGACCTGAAGCAAAACACCCAGGCCAGTGCCTGAGACCCACTTTATCCTTCTCCACTGCACCCTTTTCCTGCCACAGGAGGGCCCTTCCCTCTGGGGACTGCTATGTGGTGTCAAGAGAGCACCTTAGCTAGAGAGATCCTAAGACCAGCTGAAGCCAATCATCACCTTACAGACACGGAAACTGCGACCAGAGGGGAAAGGGCTTGCCCAAGGATATACAGCAAGCTGGTAGTGAAGCTAAGTCTGGAACCCAGGTCTCCTGCCTCCTGAGCGGGGATTTTTCTCACCCGACCCCAGCAGCCTCTGGCTTCACCCCTCAGCCACCCTGACCTCCCTCTCCCCCACCCCAGATGAATTTGGAAACCAGTTGGACGTGAACAACTGTTCCATCTGCTACCACTGGATCACCTCCAAGCCCCAGGGGGCTGTGGTATTCTCTGCTGATTACAGAGGCTGCCACGTGCTGGAGAAGGTAGGGACTGCTCCCTGCTCTCGGGAGAACCTGGAAGCTGGGAGTGAGCTTGCCCTAATGTAATGTCTGGCTGGTGAAGCCCCTTGTGGAGCAGTGAAGAATCGGAGCCCAAGGTCACTCAGTGAGTTGGTGGGTGAGGAAGACTCAGTCCCGTGCATAGGTACTCTAGCTCAGCTCTCACTGGCCCCTCCTCTGCCCAGGATACTAAGTGGTGGCCTCACCTAGCCAGGCTCCCCTCACCTAGCCTGCCTCTCACCTGCAGGATGGGCGTTCCCACCTGACGGTGATTGTAGAAGCCCTGCTGCCTGATGGCCTTGTTGATGCAGTACAAGATGCCACTTTGATCTGTCCTAAGCCCGACAGCTCCTGGACTCTGGACTCCCACTTGGTGCCACCCACCATGTCTTCACTCTCTACCCCTCATGCTGTTTCCCTCCACCCCACCTCTGGCCACCCCTCCCCTGGCTCCAGCCATGCCTTTCCCAGTCTGCTGTTACCAGATCACAGCTCCATCCATCCAACCCCTGCCTCATCATCCCTGGGACCTGGACCTACAGGCTCCACCCTGGCTCAACCCCAGCAGAACACCCTGGAACACTGGGATGTCGACAAGCCAGCTTACATAGGTATGTGGGGCTTCTCTGGGTGTGCAGACTCTCTGTGTCCAAGGCCTTCTGGAGCCTCGGGTGGCCTGCAGCCCTTTACTGGGCTTTACGAGGACACCTCCTCCATCCCTCTGGAAGTCTGCAGCCCAGCGTGACTCCTTCTCATGTCCTTACCACCCCGTCCCAACCCTAGGTACCCATCTGACCCAGGAGCAGTGCAGGGTGGCCACTGGGCACATCCCCTGCACAGTAAGAAGAAATTCAAAAGAAGCCTGTCAGCAGGCTGGCTGCTGCTATGACAATACCAGAGAGGTTCCGTGTTACTATAGCAACACAGGTACAGTCATCCATGGTCCCGGTGCCCTGGAGCTGCACCAGTAGGAGAGCTGCTTCTTGCCCCCAACTGGCTGACACTCAGCTTAACATCCTACTCCTAGGACAGCCTGACTCCCAGGACAGACTGCAGGAAGAGACCTTTAGATGGGGTGACCACACATCCCAGCTTGCCTCATAACAATTTTCCCAGGAAACTATTAAGAACACTCCCTTCAAATGGTCAAGAGCTCGGCTACTAACTGAAAGGTTGGTGGTTCTAATCCACCCAGAGGTGCCTTGGAAGAAAGGCCTAGTGATCTACTTCCAAAAGATCACAACCATTGAATACCCTATGGAGCACAGTTCTACTCTGAAACACATGGGGTCACGATGAGTCAGAATTAACTTGACGGCAACTGGTTTTGGAGTCCCTGGGCAGCACAAAGGCTTAAATGCTTGGCTGCTAACTGGAAGGTTGGTGATTCAAGTCCACCCAGAGGTACCGCAGAAGAAAGGCTTGGTGATCTACTTCCGAAAAATCAAGTCACTGAAAACCCTATGGAGCACAGTTCTAGTCTGACACACATAGGGTTGCCATGAGTCAGAATCAACTCGATGGCAACTAGTTTTTTGCTTTTTTTTTTTTTTTTTAGTTTTAGACTTAGAACATCCTAGTTTAGTGATAAATTATATGATGAGCCTACTTTTAGAGCACAGCTTGACCCTTTTCTTCCATGGATGAGAGAAACTGAGTCCACAAAGGGTTTGCTCAAGCTCACTCTGGCATAGGCGGAGAGTAAGACAAGGCTCCAGGTCTCCCAACCCCTAGGCCAATGCTTAGATGCTGATAGCTATCTAGCCCATCCCCGACTCTGTGCTAGATGAGCGCTAAGCCCTACGGCCCTGATTTGCCTCTTTGATCTGTCTTTGTCCCAGCTACTGTGCAGTGCTTCAGAGATGGCTACCTCGTCCTGGTGGTGTCCCAAGAAACAGCCTTGGCACACAGGATCACACTGGCCAATGTCCACCTGGCCTATGCCCCCACCAGCTGCCCCCCAGCCCAGAAGACAGGTGCTTTTGTGGTCTTCCGATTCCCTCTCACTCACTGTGGCACCACAGTCCAGGTAGGAGCGAGGACCAAGTCTGGCACTCAGTACCACCCCTCGAGGGCCTCACCCAGCTGTCTTCTCCCACAGGTGGCTGGCAACCAGCTCATCTATGAGAACCAGCTGGTGTCTGACATCGATGTCCAAATGGGACCCCGGGGCTCCATCACATGGGACAGCACCTTCCGGTGAGGGGGAGCCCTCCTTGAACAGGCTGGGCTGTGGGCTTGGGTGAGAGGGCGCACAAGATAGCTTAGACCAGGCTTTAGAGTCAGCTGGGTTCAAGTCAAGGCTCTATTACCTGGCTTGTGGCCATAGACAAACTACCTCCTCTTCCAGCCTCCACTTCCCCAGCTACTAAAACAACAAAGTTGCCATCGAGTTGGTTCCAACTCATGGCAACCCCACATATGCAGAGCAGAATTGTGCCCCAATAGGGTTGCCAAGGCTGTGACGTTTCAGAAGCAGATCGCCAGGCCTTTCTTCTGAGGTGCCTCTGGGTGGGTTTGAACTGCCAACCTTTTGGTTAGTAGTCAAGTGCTTAACCATTTGGGCCACCCAGGGACTCCCCTCAACTACTAGGCAGGGAGGGGTAATGGCCCTCTGTCGGGCTGATGTGAGGGCTCAGTGAGGTCTTCCCTGCCTGACACTCAGGGCTCAGATGGAAGCTGGCAGCAGTGCCTGAGGGGGCTAGAGTCCTCGCGAGAGCCCTGCCTTTATCCCTCCAAGAACTAAGCTCAGGGCAAATGAAAGTGGCTTCCTCTAGGCAACAGGAAGAGGCTGAGCTGTGGCCACATCCTGATTTCGGAGCTTATGAAGCCACAGATCAGGCAGGAGACACCCCGTGACAAAGCTCTCTGAGGATGGGTGGAGGGAGGACCTGGGGGAAGAACCCCTCATTGAAAGGGGCCAGCCAGGCCTGCTGACTCAGGTGGTATAGCCACCCGCCCCAGGAGGTGCCCAGGAGGTCCATGGGGGTGTCCCTGAGAGAATCGGTACTTGTCACTCCCAACTGTGAGTCTCCACTTTCGCTGTGTGACCAGGAGTATGTTGCCTGACTCCCCGTTAGAATAAACCACTGCCATCTGGTTGATTCCAACTCATAGGGACCCTATAGACAGTAGAACTGCCCCGTAGAGTTTCTAAGGCAGTAATCTTTATGAAACAGACTGCCACATCTTTTTCCCCGAGGAGCGCCCGATGGGTTTGAACCACTGACCTTTCAGTTGACAGCCAAGCGCTTAACCACTATGCCACCAGGGCTCCTCTAGATATTATTCAAGGGCTGTAGAAATTCTGTGCTTGACACCGAGCTGAGGCCCAGGTGTTTCCATCTCCCCTTCCTGCGGGGCAGGGTTGGTGTCAGTGTTCAAGTGTTGTTTGTTTTTGGGGGTGGGGGACCAACCTATTTCATGCTTTAGATTCTTGGATTTAAGAGCTACGGGATGCTAGCCAGAATTCAACACAGAGTGGCCAGGTGTGAGGAAGGTGTGGGGAAAGGAGAACGGGCTGTAACCGGCAGGACAGAGGCCCCTCAGAGGGCGAGCAGTGGAGGTGGAAAGGGCTTCAGATCAGGTTAAGTCATGGATGCAGACTGGGCTGCTTTCCAAGGGCTGCCGGAAGAAAACCCCACAAATGTATCGTCTCTCGGTTCCGGAGGCCAGTGGTCTGAATTCAGGGTGTCGGCAGGACCGTATTCTCTCTGAACACTCTCTAGTTGGGTGCTGTCAAGCCTGTTTCCACTCATAGAAACCCCATGTGACACAGTGGAACTGCGCTGGTTAAGTGTTCGGCTGCTAACCGAAAAATCAGCGGTTCAAACCTACCAGCTGCTCCTTGGGAGGAAAGACCCGGCGATCTGCTCCCATAAAGATTGCAGCCTAGCAAAACCTATGGGGCAGTTCTAGTCTGTGCTATAGGGTCACCAGGAGTCCGAATTGACCAGGGTCTGGAAGTGCCCTTCTTGTCTTCCCAGCCTCTGTTAGCCACAGGTGTTCCTTGTCCTGTAGATGCATCTTCACGTGGCCATGCCTCTTCTCTCTCTGGGTCTCCTCTCCTCTTTTATAAGGACACCACTCATACTGGATTAGAATCCATCCTGTTCCTATATGACCTCATGTTCACTGATAACATCTTCAAAGATCCTCTTCCCAAAGAAGGTCACATTCACAGGTACCTGGGATTAGGACTTCAGCATATCTTTTTGGAGGGACACAATTCAATCCATAGAACTATGCAGGTCTCAGTCTCCATCTATAGAACGTCTTCTAGCCCAGGCTCAAACCCAGGCCTCCTGCCATCCAGGGCTCGGTCCTCCCATAGAGGCAAAGGTGGAACACTCAGGAGTGGGAAGGAAAGGTAGATGGGGTGGGGTGGGGTGGGGTCAGGTCACTTCTGCAGAATACCTCCTGCCCCCACCCCCAACTGTGAACCTGGCTCAGCAAGCTGAGGGGGGCCAGGGCCCTTAGGCCAGGAAGGGAGATACTAGACACAGTGGCAGACCTGAAGACATGGGGCATTATCTTCTGACCTCATTTAATCCTTGGATAAAGGCTACAGAAGCACAGCCCTCAGGAGGAGGGGGTGATTACCATTTAGCAAATGAGCAAGCAGGATAAACAACTTATTCCCAGGGCTAATAAGATTCAAGCCCAGGTCTGTCAGAGGACAGAGCTCCTGGGCCAGCCCATCAGGCCTGACTGTCCTGCTCTGAGGGCCTCAAACACCACAACAGGGCAGATGTCTGAGGGTAGGCACGGTGGGCCCAGCCGAGGGATCAGGCCCCGTCCTCTCCATCCTGCAGGATCTCAGTCCCTAGAATAGGGCCTGGCCCAGCAGACTCGGATATTTGAAGAGAAAGTGAAGGGGGACTGCCAGGCCGCCCTGGGAAGGCAGGGTGGGCAGAGGCCAGGAGCAGGCAAGCTCCCTCACCCACCTTGGCAGCGATGTGCGTCACCCAGGTGACTACTGCCTTGCTGGATGACTCATCACCACATCTACATAGTCAGGACCTGGCTCGTTAATTCACTGGGATGCTGATTCTGTGTCTTCTCCCCCACTGTCCTGCATCTGGCCTTCAGGCTTCATGTCCGCTGTATCTTCAACGCCAGTGACTTCCTGCCTGTCCAGGCCTCCGTCTTCCCACACCCGCCGCCTGGCCCTGTGACCCAGTCTGGCCCCCTGAGGCTTGAGCTTCGGATTGCCAAGGGTACGGAGTCCCCAGCTTCTCTTTCTGCCTCCCCCCCACCCCCCGCCTCCTTGACACACAGCCGCCCAGGACTCACGAGCCCTCTCCCTGCAGACAAGACCTTCAGCTCCTACTATGGGGAGGAAGACTACCCCGTCTTGAAGCTGCTCCAGGAGCCGGTCCACGTGGAGGTCCGGCTCCTGCAGAGGACAGACCCTAGCCTGGCCTTGGTGCTGCACCAGTGCTGGGCCACGCCCGGCACCAACCCCTTCCAGCAGCCTCAGTGGCCCATCCTGTCAGACGGGTGAGGGGCAGTGGGTGCCCTAGCCACCTGAGGGCTCCCTCCCTGCCTGCCCACAGCTTGGAGACCACCCTGACTCTCTCCTCCCAGGTGTCCTTTTGACGGCGACGGCTACAGAACCCAAATGCTGACCTTGGACGGGACCACACTGCCCTTCCCATCTCACTACCAGCGCTTCACTGTGGCCACTTTCGCCTTTCTGGACAAGGGCTCCCACAGGGCCCTCAGGGGACCGGTAAGGAAGCACCTAGCTCCTCAGCTAAGTGAGGTCGCTGAGCCCCTCTGTGCCCGGGGAAGGAATGCAGACAAAGCTCCCGCGATGGGGCTGGATCTTCCTGAGTGTTGTACAGAGGGCCCCTGGGTAGTGCAAACGGTTAGCCTGTTTGACCGTTAGCCAAAAGGGTGGAGGTAGGAGTCCACCCAGAAGTGCGTTGGAAGGAAGGTCTGGAAATCTACTTCAGAAAAACCAGCCACTGAAAAGCCTGTGGAGCACAGTTCTGTCTGACACACATGGGGTCGCCATAAGTCAGCATGGGGTCGCCGTAAGTCAGCATGGGGTCGCCATAAGTCAGCAACTGTTTTTCTGTTGTTGTACAAATGGAGTGGGGGTGCTAAGCACAGGGTCCTGGTCTCGGGTTAGTCCAGACGAAGCCTGGAAATAACTCAAGAGGGAGGAAGGAAAATGCTGAGTGTGGACACACACACAAAAAGAAAAACCAACCAAACTCACTGCCATCAAGTCGATTCCGAGTGTGGACACAGTCCACTGTAAATCTGAACATTAGTCATGGTGGCCTTGCTTCTGAGTCTAGAAATGATGATGGGTTCAATGTAAATATGCATTCAACTTAGCAACTTCCTCATAAGGTAAGAGTGGCTAAAGTTAGCGTATATTCATCTAGGTTTTCTACATAATATACAAATGGCACTATAGGCCACATACTGTGTGCATTTGTTCTACTGAACAATATCACATCTCTCATATTAATATACACAGATCTGTTTAAGTAGTTGCACATTATTACATCAGAAGTAGACTTATTTCACTTGCTAGCACTTGTTACCCTTTGCCATCAAGATGATTCTGACTCCTAGTAACTCTACAGGATAGAGAAGAACTGCCCCACAGGGTTTCCAAGGCTGTAATCCTTATGGAAGCAAACTGCCACATTTTTCTCCCATGGAGCGGTTGGTGGGTTCAAACTACCGACCTTTAGGTTAGCGGCTCAGGGCTTAACCACTGCACCACCAGGGCTCCTGTTAGGGTGCCTCTTCCCTGAAATGAGACGCAAACCTGCTCAATAAAGGGGCATTCACTGGTCAGGCCTACTGGGTGCTAGTTCAGGCCAACTCCTCCTCCTCCTACTCCTTTTGGGAGCTGCCCCTGGCATTGTGCTTTTGGGAGCAGCCATAACCTGTCCTCCCCTCCTGCCCCCAGCCACAGGCAGGCCTTTCCTATCGCTGTGGCCTGGAAGCCTGGCTGGCTGGCACGTAAACAAGTCTCAGTGCCTGCGCTGGGGAGGAGAGGGTGGCAGTCATCTGCTCTCCTGCTGCCTGGCCAAGCCCCCTTCTCAGAATTCCCTCTCCGTGTCAGACACAGGGTGGAAGGGAGCAATGCAGGCCTCCTGGGTAGGCTCTACAGCCAGAGGCCTCGGTGGAGAAGCGAGCTGAGGCTGGGGCTCTGAACACAGTGGCTCCTGCAGGCAGGGCACTCCACTGAAGACTTGGACCAAGTGGAAGGAGGTGGACATGGATTCCAAAATGGGCAGCCACGCTTATGGCTCTATGCTCCGTGAGCATGGGGCTGCAGTCTCGGCCTGTCTTGGTCAACACGCCCAGACTTCTCCTGCCTGTCTGGCCAGCAGCAGCGTGTTCTGGGCTCCCATCCTGGGTCTTGTGCTCCTGCCATAGTCCGTCCTGCTTGGTGCCACTGGACCATTCCCTTCCTTGACGCTCTTCTCCTCCCACCAGGTCTACTTCTTCTGCAGCGCTTCTGCCTGTCACCCCTCGGCGCTGGGGACTTGCTCTACGCCGTGTAGCTCTGGGACTTCCAGTGAGTCTGCGGTGGGGCCTTCTCTCCTCTCTCATACTCCTTCAGGCCCCTCCCTGGCTTCTGGGCCACAAAAGACTGGAGACCCAAGATACCTCTCCCCTGGGCAGGACGGCGACGGTTCTCGGGTCACCACAACGCTTCCAGGCCCCAGGACATTGCGAGTTCTCCAGGGCTGGTGGGCTTTGAGGACTCTAGCGGACAGGAGCCTACACTGGGGCCCACAGGTAGGAGGACTTGTTTAGTCCCTTCAGACACCAGACCCCCAGAAGTGTGCTGACAAAATGGGGAAGCACCAGCGCCAGTAAGAGCAGGAGATGGGGTAACTGCGTTCAATGGAGAACTGAGCAAAGACAGACAGGGGCCACCTTATCTGCAGAAAGGCAGCTCCAGCTCCAGCTGGGGTGGTCACAAAGGCCTGTCATGGATGGGTGTGTTAGAGGGGACTCACCCAGCCTGTGGTCCTTCAAATCCTGTCTCTCTAGCAGGCTCCACCAGGAACTCCAACTCCAAGCTACTCCTCTGGGTGATCCTGCTGCTGCTGGCTGTTGCCCTGGTCCTGGTGGTCAGCATCTTCATGGGCCTGAGCCAGGCCTGGGCCCAGAAGCTCCAGGAAAGCAGCAAAGGGTGAATAGGCTCAATAAACCATTGTTTCAAACTTTCTGGAAGCAAGCGTGGTACTTATTTATGACAATGGGAACAGAATTGTTTTGTTTTAGAATTTTCCCCTTGCTTGGAGTCACCTCTGGTCTCTTAGAATTGTGGCCTCTATTAAATACTTACGGAGCCCTGGTGGTGTAGTGGTTAAGCACTCAGCTGCTAACCAAAAGGTCAGCAGTTCAAATCCACCAGCTGCTCCTTGGAAACCCTATGGGGCAGTTCTACTGTCCTGTAGGGTCACTATGAGTCAGAATCGACTTGATGGCAATGGGTTTTTTGTTTTTATTACAAATACTTAATGTCTGCCAGACCCTGGGTAGAGCCAAGTATCTCCCCAAAGTGAATGTGGGAGACTGCTTTTCAACAAGGAAAGAAGGCAGATGAACAGGAAGAGCAAAGGTACAGGAGGGTAAAAACATGGCAGTCAAAGAACGTGGCAGGGAGTAACGGCCCAGAAAGTCTTGTCAATGCCCACACACACTGGAGGTCTGACTGGGCATCCTTGAAGCAGCCTGCTTGGCTGCCATCGTGGATGAGGGGCACCCAGAGTCCCCCCCCCCCAGGGCCAAAAGAACTAAAGCTGAGGTGAAGGAGCTCTCCATGGTCCCCACTCTGAGCCTACCAGCCTACCACTGATGGCTCCTGGCTAGATTTCTCACCACCAGTGCGGCTCGCCCACCCTGGGCCTCCCAGGATTAGTCCATCCAGGAACAGTCAGCCCAAGCTGAGAGCCCACCTGCTACCACGGGCATGGCCACCTGATAGGTCAGTACCAGTGCTGGCTATGCTGTTGATGCGTTTGGCCATGTATGACATAGGCCTTAATCTCTGTTTGGCAGCAAAGACCATTCCCAACTGATCTGTAGATCTTCTGGTTGGAAAGGGGTAGTGTTTGAGGAGCAGGGAGATGTAGGGTCGGCCCCTTGAGGACAAGGAGAAGTCCACAGGGAAGCCTGAACTTGGCTTCAGACACCTTTCTGGCCTTGGGTAAGAGCTGGCATGAAGGGAGCTTAAAAAGCTCGAGTCAGGCCTGTGGCCTTGGCACCATGCAGCCCCCAGCTCCAGCCTACTCCATCTTTTCTGTCTTCACTTTTCAGCTGCCATCGAGTTGGCCTGTGACTCGTGGGAACCCCATACATAACAGAACAAAATGCTGCCCGGTCCTGCATCATCCCCATTGACTGGTTGTGGACTGAACCATTGTGATCCATAAGGGTCTTCACTGCTGATTTTCAGAAGTGTACTTTCAAGCCTCTCATCCTAGTCTCTTAGTCTAGAAGCTCTGATGAAACCTGTTCAGCATCATAGCAACATGCAAGCCTCCACTGACAGAAGGGTGGTGTCTGCACATGAGGTGCACTGGCCAGGAATCTAACCCGTGTCTCCCAGCATGGAAGGTGAGAGTTCTACCACTGAACCACCATTGCCTCACTTCTGCCTTCAGAGTACTGGTTAAATATAGGGACTCCAGAGCCAGGCTGCCCGAGTTACAACCACAGCTCTGCCTCTTACCAGCTGTGTGGTATCAGATGAGTTACTGAACTTCTCTGAGCTCCAGTTTCCCTTTCTGTAAAATGGGGACTATACCTATTCCCATAGATGTGTTGGATTAAACGAGTTAATAGATGATAATGCCTAGGATAATACATGACAGTTAGTCAACGTTTACTGAGTGCTATTAACTACTAAATAGTTTCTCTTCCTCCTGCCCACAAATCTAAAGTATTTTTTTGGTTTTTTTTTCTTTTCCTTTTTTCGTAGAAAGACCAATTTACAGCCCAAGATCGAGGGATAAGGCAAACCACTGACTTCAGGTTTGTCTAGCCGGAGGCAGCAGACTGGAACATGGAGACAGAAAAATCCAGACACTTGCTATAAAGGTTAATTAACTTCCCTTCTCTGGGCTTCAGTCTTCCCATCTGCAGCTATGGATGACTGGCCTACACTGTCTGCCTTGTACAGCTGGGTGTGGGATATATTCTTAGTACGAAAAAAGTGAGAATTCTTAGTTTGGTGGTTTGGAGGAGCCAGGCTGACCTCCTCTTGGGGGCCAAGGTTCTGGTTCCATCCAGCATCAATCTTTCCTTCTTTCTCCTACATCATACATGCACGTTCTAGGCATTTCAAAGAGCGTGAAAGGGTGGTCCTATGGATGGCAGTGATGCTCTGTTTAAACAAAGCAGCACTCTATAGCTAGCTATTGGAACCACATTACATAACCACCTCTTTAATGTTTTTTAATACAAGGGTAGACATCTTGTCTCACTTCCTGTCATTTTTAACAGATGCATTATTTTATGTATTGTAGCTAAACTGTGACATACTTGATCTCCTTTTGATGGAAAGTCTACTGTCAAGCGTAACAAGTGTGAATGCAATCATGTAAGCATGCAATTCTCTGTATACTATCTAATAAGCAAATTCTTAAGTAGAATTTATGGGTCAAAAACCATGTCCCTCACAACTATCAGGTTCCAGGGGTGCCTATTTTCTCACAGCCTTGCCACCACAGACCACTGCCTATCTGAGCATCCGCAGACAAACAGCACTGCTATTTTAAAATGAACCTCTTTGATTAGGGGCCAAGCATCTTTACGGCCACTTGTATCTTATAAATCGCCTCTTCACGTCTTCATTCGTTTCTTTTCTTGTCTGTAAACAGCTTTCACAAATCAACGGAGTGAACGTCCTCATCTTGTAAACTTCCCTTTGAGTTGGCCACTGGTTCTGCTTTGTGATCTTCTGCCATCTTGCTAGTTGAGAGGATTATGTAACAATGAATATTCTTTCTCTTGTATTTTTATCTTTGATTACACAAAGGCCTTCCCCTATCCTATATAACAATGTTGTTGTTAGATGCTGTTGAGTCGGCTCCAACTCATAGAGACCTTACGCATACCAGAGTGAAATGGTGCCCAGTCCTGTGCCATCTTCGTGGTCATTGGTATATACAATCATACGAGCATCCATCTACGTTCTTGTGATAGTGCTGTCAAGGGGATACAGGTGCATGATTTTTTTATCACTAGCGTTGTCATGCTGATATTTAAATTGTACAAAGACGGTGTCCCCACTTATACATCAAAGGGTTATGTTTACGGAAACCAATGTACAAAATAACATGAACAGTGGGCTCCTTGCAGTACTAGGCTTCCTATGCTTTTTCTGGATGGAAATAGTGTATTAAAATCTAGCCTAAATCTTGTCCAATCTAAACCTTCTTCCTTTCCCTGGTAACACCTCATGGTGTCGGCAGATACCTAAGCCCTGAGAACGGCTTAGTCAGACCCAATGGGAATGATAACCAACCACTTTTGCTGACCTGTGGCAGGAAGGAGAGGTGCTCATAGGCCTGTCAGTTGTTTCTTCCTCACTTTTGGGAAGGCGGGCAGCTATGTAAGGCCCCAGGGAACCCCTGCCTCTCCGCCTTCCCCCAGGCTCCCTCACACTTACGCAGCAATGCCTAGAGATCAAAGTAATTCTGTGGTGCTTTGACTTAAAGGGCAGCGAATACTTTACCGCCTGTTACTTCAGCTTAACTAAGTACAATCTAACTCCTTCAAGTGTGCCCAAGCATTTCTGTATGGGCGGTTCATATAAAAGTGCCACTTCTCTTCCCAGCAGCAGGAAAACTAAACACCTGGATCAACCTGCTAAATTAAACAACTAAAATGCCAGGTTAAATATGTTTAAAGTATGTTTAAATCATTTCTGCACTGACGTGAAGGGAAAAAAAAAGGCCACATACACAGGCCAAAAATATAGTAAAAGCAAAAACTCTGGGAAAACTCACCTTCACCCTGGGGACTTCTACAGAACCCTGAGACCATGACCACCTGCTCTGACGAGCCCAGGGAAATGCAGATCAAGCCCAGGGAATGCCAGACGTAGGTAGTCTAGATCTAGTCTGTTAAAGCTGGGACTGCAGAGGGCTGAGTTCTCTGTGCAAGTGAGTGAGAAATAAACCCACTGTATGGAAGAAAGCAGCAAGGAACCTTGTCCATCTTGATCTTGGTGCTGAATGGATGAAAACAAACCTTCCCTGAGATTTAAAAGTACAAGCCCCTCCTCTCTGGTGTGTGCAGTCCAAATTCTTGGACAGGGAGGCCAAAAAATTTAAAAAAAAAACCTTCAAAGCTTTAATCTGAAAAAAACCTTACCAGGCTGAATTTAAAACAATCCCAGGATGACCACAAATTTAAAGTGATCTCTAGGCTTCAGGCAAAAGCAAGTGCAAATCCTATTGGGAAGAATGTGAGTTCAGGCCAAATTTCAAAGAATTCTCACATATAAAGTTACAAATAAAATGAGCACACCTCACAATTAGAAATGACAAGATGTGTAAAGGGTGAAAAGACAAGGCAGAAACCAGGAAGACAGCTGCAATGCATTAGGATTACTATCCCATGTATATATATGTGTGTGTACATATATATATATATATATATATGTATGTATGTATGTATGTATGTATGTAATAAATCAATAAAAAAAGACAACCCAAACAGAAAAATGTGGAGTACAAACACGCATTTCACAAAAGCTAAACTCAAATGGCCTACAGGCGGATGAAATGATGTCCAGCTCTATTAGTAACTGTGGACATGAAAATTAAACCTCAAAATACTAGCCTGAAACCAGAAAAACTAGATGATGCGTGGCTACCACCGCTCTGACCGGGATCACAATAGAGGGTCCCCAACAGAGCGGAAGAAAAATGTAGAACAAAATTCAACTTCACAAAAAAGACCAGACTTACTGGTCTGACAGAGACTGGAGGAATCCCCCAAAACTATGTCCCCTACACACCCTTCTAACTCAGAACTGAAGCTGCTCCCAAAGTTCACCCTTTAGCCAAATATTAGACAGGTCTTATAAAACAATAACACCTGTGAGAAATGTGCTCCTTAGAACAATCAAGAATACGAGACCAAATGGAAAAGCAAACTTGAGAAGGCAGGAAGGGGCAGG